GCTTATAATGATAAGAATGACAATCAAATGGATACTTGGTATCTTGACACCGGTGCAAGCGATTACATGTGTGGTAGAAAGGAATTGTTTGTGAAATTGAATGAATTAAGTCATGGGCATGTAACATTTGGAGACTTATAAAAAATACCCTTAAAGTAAAAAGGTAAATTTTTGATAAAAATGAAGAATGGTGGTCATCGATTTACTTTCGATGTATATTATGTGGCGGACATAAAAAATAACATTTTGAGTGTGGGGCACTTATTAGAAAAAGGCTATAATATTTTTATGAAAAATTGTAGCCTTTACTTGAGGAACCAAAGAAACAATTTGAATTCTAAAGTAATTATGACTAAGAACAGAATGTTTCCAATGAATATCAAAACTGAAAATATGAAATGCCTCAAATCTATTTTGAATGATGATTCATGGTTATGGCATTTTCGTTTTGGGCATCTTAATTTTGGTGGTTTGAAATTATTATCAAAAGAAAAAATGGTGAATGGTTTGCCATGGATAAAGCAACCCGATGGAGTATGTGAATGATGCATTGTAGAAAAGCAACATTGAAAAAGCTTCAAGAGTGGAAAATCAAGGAAAGCACAAAAGCCTCTCCAACTCGTGCATACGGATGTGTGTGGACCACTTGAGCCCATCTCATATGGAAAAAGTCCGTACATTCTAACCTTTGTTGATGATTATAGCAGCAAAACATGGGCTTCTTTCCTTAAAGAAAAATCGGAAGTTTTTGCAGTGTTTAAGGAATTCAAAGCTTTTGTGGAGAAACAAAGTGGTTTTCAAATAAAAGTGATAAGATTAGATAGAGGTGGAGAATATAATTCTCATGCTTTCCAAAAATTTTGTAAAGAACATGGAATTTGCCACCAAATGACCACATCCTACGCACCACAAGAAAATGATATGGCGGAATGACCACATCCTATGCACCACAAGAAAATGGTATGGCGGAAAGAAAGAATAGAACTGTTTTGAATATGTTAAGATGCATGTTAAATGAAAAAGAAATGTCAAAAGAATTTTGGGTCGAGGCCGTTGCTTGTGCGGTATATTTGTTGAATAGGTGTCCCATAAAAGGTTTATGGTATAAGACACCCGAAGAAGCTTGGAGTTCCTACAAGCCAAATGTAGAGCATCTAAGAATCGTTGGGTGTGTGGCTTTTGCTAAAATTCCCCAAGAGAAAAGGGCAAAACTTGATGACAAAGGAGAAAAATGTGTATTCATTGGCTATGGAAAAAATACAAAGGGTTACAAGTTGTACATTCCCATTACTAAATAGTTATTCTTGAGTAGAGATGTGATCTTTGATGAAAATGGAGTACGGTATTAGAAAAATAATCAAGAAAAGAAAATTATTGAGGTTGATGAAGTGAAGAAAAGGACAAGTGGAGCATCAAGAAGGCTCTTTGAATCCTATTCATGATGCTTCTTCTAGTGGCCAATCTACTTTAACTAGTAGTTCATCTCATAGGCCCATGAAAACAAAAATCCTTCAAGAAATTTATTCGATTACTCGTAGGCTTGATGTTGAAAATGAGGATCTTACATTGCTTTGTTTCTACACAGATTTGGATCCTATTTATTTTAATGAAGCATGTAAAGATTGAAGAAATTGAGAGAAATGACACATGGGAACTTACAACACTTTCTAAGCGCCACAAATCAATTGGTGTGAAATGGATTTACAAGACAGAAATGCTAATGGGGATATCGAAGGTATAAAGCAAGCTTAGTTGCTAAAGAGTACAAGAAAAGACCCGGAATTGACTATGATGAGGTATTTACCCCCGTTGTTCGTTTGGAAACTATTAGATTAATCATTTCTCTTGCAACCTAAATGAAATGGAAAACTTTTTAAATAGATGTGAAATCGGCATTTTTGAATAGTGTTCTTGAAGAAGATGTGTATATTGAACAACCAATTGGTTATGGGAAAAAAGGCCAAGAAACTAAAGTTTACGAATTGAAAAAGGTTTTGTATGGTTTAAAACAAGCACCTAGAGTATGGAATAGTAGAATTAATAAATATTTTCTTGAAAATGGTTTTTCTAGATGCCCCATATGAACATGCCCTATACATAAAAAAAATATGAAAATGGAGATATTTTTCTTGTTTGTTTATATATTGATGACTTGATCTATACGGGAAATAATCCAGGCATGTTTAAAGAATTCAAAGAATCCATGATTAAGGAGTTTGAATGACTGACATTGGGCTCATGTCTTATTTTCTTGGCATTGAAGTTAAACAAATGGATGATGGAATTTTTGTGTCACAAAAATCTTATGCCAAAGAAATTCTCAAAAAAATTAAATTAGAAAATTATATTCCGGTAAATACACCAGTAGAAAGTGGTCTCAAATTGAGAAAAGAAGGTGATGGAGAAAGAGTTGATCCTACATTTTTCAAAAGTTTAGTTGGAAGCCTCCGATACCTAACATGTACAAGACCGGATATTCCTTATGGAGTTGGTTTGATAAGCCGGTACATGAAGACTCCAAATACCTCTTACTTGAAAGCGACAAAAAGGATTATCCAGTATATCAGAGGCACATTTGACCGTGATTTATTCTATTCATATTCTAATGTTTGTGATCTTGTAGGTTTTGTTGATAGCAATTGGGCTGGAGACTTGGATGATAGAAAAAGCACTTCCAAGTACGCGTTCTACATGGGGAGTACGACATTCACATGGTCATCAAAGAAGCAGCCGATCGTGATACTATCAACTTGTGAGGCGGAGTATGTAGCCGTCACATCAAGTACTTTTCATGCATTATGGCTATGGAATCTTCTTAAAGAGCTTTTAAAGCTTCAAGAGACTCCTGCCAAAATCCATGTAGATAACAGGTCGGCAATTGCATTGGCAAAGACCCCAGTGTTTCATTAGAGAAGCAAACACATTGACACACAATTCCATTTCATTCGAGACCAAGTGAAAGAGAATAAGGTTGAACTTGTTTATACAAAGACGCAAGATCAAGTTGCCGACATTTTTACAAAACCTTTCAAACATGAATTGTTTCAAAAATTGAAAGTTATAGGAGTAACCAAGTTGGAAATTAAAGCTTAAAGGGGATGTTAAAAATAAGCTTGATTATGTTCAAGTGTATTTTGAATATTAGATTTAAACATAAGGGACATTTTCGAAAAGTTATGTTAAGGATAATTTTAGAATGATGTAAAAAAAATGTGTAGAGTTCCAAAGTCACAATTCCAAGATTGAAAAAGATGAATTCCAAAATTGAGAGAAAAGAGTCCCAAGATTGAGAGAGAGAAGTCCAAAACATGCAATGCATGCAAATTTGAATTGGGCATGAATGAAGTCCAAATTTTTTTTGAATAATCTTGTAATTTCGTCCAAGCATACAGGTTGTAAATTATGAATGAGAAAACATCACTAGAATGGTGTAGAAAGAGTCTAAAAAGCTCCTAAGAAGTTTATATATACATGTACTATATTTTTATACCAATAGAGTAAAAAAATTGCGTTGGATTGAGCTCTTTTGTGTGCATGACTACAAATTCTCAAAATAAGCCTTCTTCCTCCCTATTTTCTAACAGGACTATCCTCTTCCGCACAACCTTTTCTAATAGGACTATCCTCTTCCACTTCCATAACCAAATTCAAAGCTTTTTTTTGGGAAGAGCTTGTAACCACGATCAGTCAAACGCTGCTATCTTAGTAAGTGGAATCCCTTTTCGGCTTTTCTCCATTGTTTACCGCACCATATTTTTGCTTAAGACCTTCAAACTCTGTTTTTATCCCAAAGTCCTCAAATGCAACAGTCTAATAAAATCGGGTGTATCAAAGAAAGCATTTCGGAGAATTATAACACGCACAAAAGAAACATCATTACTTCTAATCAAGTTCCAATCCACCTCTAAGAACTCCCCAAAAAGATTTCCCAATCTTTAAAAAACACAAATAAGTTTTGGAACTCCACAGCACTTCTGGCATCCTTTGGGTAGGTCAGATGTATGTTTCTCCAAATAAGTTTTTAGAGGTAGGAAAAATTTGTTCCGGTACGAACAAGTTTTGGCACTCCACAGCACTTTCTGGCATCCTCTTCCGATGGTAAGAGAACACTACACCTGTTATCAGCAAGCTTTTTAACCTCTGGTGAATACGAGAGCCCCACGCTCTTCTAGCCCAGACCAAAAAATCATCAGATGGTGCCACCACCGCAGCAGTACGCCTTCTCCTATCATCCAAGATATCTGATAGAATCACCACATGTTTGGTGTTCTTGAAAGCGTATCTTCCTCTCTCCATTTCTCTCTCTCACTTCCGGTAAATATTCTCAATGTCTCACTCCACAAACCTCACGGTACCTCTCAACAATGCCCTCACGCCAATACCCACACGCTACCGCTTCCCATTAAGGTCCCATGGATCCCTTGTAGAAACTTTATCCTTTCTTAACAAAGGAATAAGAGGCTCGATTTTCTATTTCAAATATCCCAATAGCAAATCGGCTCGATTTTCTATTTCAATTATCCCAATAGCAAATTTATATTCCGTATTAAGGGACAAATATTATCTCTAGATCATGCACTGAAGTCTCATTTAAAAAAGAATATATAGTCGTGGGAGCAAGGCACACAGGGGATAGG